GCTATTGCCGGGTTTTCTTCAGTTTTAGCTTTAGACCCTGACTTTTGCAGCACTTGTACCTATGCCGATGGGGGACGCATTGCCTTCCTCCTCGCTTTCCCCCGCCCTCCCTCTTGGATCCGGCTGTGGTCATTTCTGATCGTACATGGCATGAGTTCTTAGAAATATTCGGCGTGTTTTATTGTGGGTTTACTTGGAAACTGCTTGTAAAAGCTGTCTTCGGGACAACAGGCCTGATGAAGATAAAACGAGCGTCTTGCCTGTTGCACGGAGATTGTTTTAACTGAGTGCGAGGATTGTTCCTAGTTGTTGCGTGGTTCTAAAGTGAGAGGGGACTCTCGTCCCGCTCCCCACCTCCCGTCATCCTCCTTCCAAGAGCCCCACTCCCCCTCCCCTCTTCGCTTGTCGCCCTCCCCCTCCCTTCCCAGTAGTCCGTCCTGGATCCGTCTGTGTTTGCCGCGCTGTTGTACTGCAACTTGCATGAAAAGCAAAAAGTTAATTCAACGGCTCTTTAATTCAAAATTAGGCAGTATAATAGGAGAGCGCACGAACCGATGGTCATTATAAAGGGATGATGGGAGGGGAGGGGGAGTTATTGTTCATAGTGGGATCAGTTATGTTTTCTGCCTGCTGAAGAATTATTCTGTGCGGCAAACGCAGTGGAAGTGCCGTTTGTATCGCTTCTCTACAGTTGCTGTTTTAATTTTCAGTAGCTTTAAGGGTTTATTTCAGGTGATGGTCGCAGAGGACAAAAGCGATTCAAAAGCACGTGTTTTTGGGCCAGGGTTAGAGGGTGGTGTCGCCAATTTACCGTGTGTTTTTTTGGTTGAGCTGAATGGAGCTCTTTTTCGACTGCTTGGTATGCCTCTTTTAAGCATTTTACGTTTACTGAAAGTTCGCTTGTAAATATGATGCTTGCCTTAACGTAAACACAACCAAAATACAAATGTTTTTTTATTTTGGTCACTAGTGATAATTTAATTAGGGCAGACGTTGTTTTATTGCATTTTGAATTTTTGTTTATGCAGCAAAACTGAAATTTTCGAATAATTTTGGCATACTTCTTGTAGACGTTGATCTCAGAAAGGATGCTGCGATGGCAGACGGAAATGGTACTGCGGCACCGGAAGTAACTCTCGTGGACAATGAAGACGGAACTGTCACTGGACATTTCACTGTTAGTGCTGATGCTCTCTTATTTTGTGGATATTTGTCGAAAATTGTTGTTGCTTTTGTTTTACGCAGCTTTTGTTTTAACTTTTGTCTTTGTTTTAACCTAACTAGCTTTTGATTTTGTTTCAATCGTGATTATCATTGTGCTGTTGGATTTTTTTGTGGAAAAAGAATTTTCGATGTGCTGCGGAGGCGA